TGGATCCATCTAAAAGACTAACTAGCAGAGAGCTGTTTGAGTTTGCTTATAATAAACTTGAAGAAATTATTAAAAATGAAAGTTTGAAAAATAATACTAGCAATTATTCAAATTTTCTAAAATCAAAAAACATGAAATCGATTTTAATAATGGTAGCAGCAGCAGTGGCGATGGTGGTGGTGGTGGTGGTGGTGGTGGTTCTCAACAAACACATAAATCACAACCAGATGCATATCATACAGGTGGAATATTAGAAGAAGAGATTGCTAAATCTAAAAGCTTTAAAATTTATACAAGTAATGTTAGTTCATTAAATAATCTTGATTGTAACTCTTTTCTCTAGAATTTTAACAAAGGTGAATAAAAATTTCATTATTAATTAATTGGAAGTTACTATCCATTAATTATTACTAACTAAATTCTAATAACAATAGTAAATGAAAAGTGACTAATTTAATTTCCATTATAAATTTATTATCTTCTTTTTATTTATCTTTTTTATTTTATCCTTATTTTGTTTCTTATAATAATATTTCCTATAATAAACTTTTTACAGTTCCATGATTCTTGTCAAATGATGATATTACAAGATATCATTTCTCTTAATTAACAATTATGACTTAATTTTTGGGCTACTCTTGTCAGCTAATAATTTGGTGCTTGTCATTTAATTAGTTTACGACTTCCCTCTTTCTTCTTGCATCTAGACAAATCTGTGAGCATACTTGATGGTCACAGATAACTGTAATTAAATAAAGATGGCCCTTTTGCAATGTTATAAAGTTCCTTTTATTCACTTATGATCGTTTTGTTTCAGTTGTTTGCTGACTGTTTGCAAACTCGCTTTGGTTTACTTACAAAACAACTCAAGTAGCTTGTTTAATAGCCTTACATTTATGATTACAATAATACCACCAGTATTTCCAATTAACCTTTGGATGATACTTTATTGACACCCATGGCTAGCCAACAAAATTAGTCCTAATCTTGCTTGCTTGCTCACTAAAGCGTGTCTTTTTACCAAAGCCCCACAATTGTTGCCTTTTTACCAAGGCAATAACTATGGTTTAAATAAAGAAAATAAAGACGATGTTTTTATTTTTATTTTTATTTTTATAATAAATACAGTCAAGTATTTTACTCGATATCGAAACACTAAATACTGTAATGATCAACGTTATGAAAAATTCTAGAAGAAATTTTGATTGGCTAAAAACAGCCGGGATAATGCCCTGTAATGATTGACGCCATGAAAAGAGATTCTGATTGGCTAAATTCTTTTCGTTTTTTGAATAAAAATATTAATAATAAAGAAAAACATGCTGGGAGCTTTATTAACTGGCCATATTACAGGATTAAGCAATATGAGAATGTCATTGTTTGTGATTTAACATATAGTATATTAATCAGATAGATGATTTTAACATTATGTACAAAATTTTCCTTTACCTATCATTCATTAATATCATTAATATCTCATTTAATAATTGATAATAAAAATAATCAATCAATATTATGTATTATATGTTCTATGATTATAACTAAATCATTCACCTTACCCATTGAATATATGCATGCATAAAAACCAGAATACTTTTAATAATTCATAAAACAATAAATATATAAATTTAATATGTGTGCATGTATGTATGTATGTATATATATATATAATTATTTTAAATAATTCTTACATTTATATTTGTAAATTTAGATAAAGGCAAATTTAGAGCATATTAATTGATAGTCTGAAACTAGAAGTTTGTTCTATATTCCTATGGTTGCTATTAATAAGAAGTTTTGTAAAGCTGGTCAACAAAATCACTCTTTTTAAATTACTCTTTTTTAAATTAACATAGTTGAGATCCAGAACTTACTGTGAAATATCTTAGTTAATCTGAAACAAGAGGTTTTATTTTATCTATTCTTCCAATAGTATTACTAAAAAGAATTTTTGTATAAAGTTACAAGGCTTTTAACAAAATTCCCCTTTTATTTTTTGAAATCTTGGACCCAGTGACCCAGCTTTTAGAATATTGTTGAGTAAGTGTGGTAAATAAACAGTATAAGGTGTTAACAGTTTGTTTTTGTGTTTTATCCAAAAAAATTAAAAATATTTTTAAAAAAAACAAATTCCTAGTGCAGAACTTTCTTTGATTTTAAAAACAACATACTTTGAGCAATTTGACTGATTATTAGTGATTATTATGAAAAAGAAAATTGAATAGTATTTATTTCGATTATTATAATTTGGATTTTTTTAAAAATTTTTTTTTGTTTTCCAGTAGGGAGAGATTCAGTATGGTATAACCCTTGCAGAACGTATGGTATAGCCCATATTTTTCCATCCCAAGTCACACAAAATTTTATTCTAAATCCTTTTTTGGCAGGTGTGAAGGGAAGCATGTATTGGTATACAACACTTATACAATACAATACTATACATTCTGCAAGAGTTATACCATACTGAATGTCCCTATACTCTTTTGATTACATATTATGGAAGTATATAAACTCATTTGCAACATATATGAATTGATCAATGAGGGGGTTCAGATTTTTCCAGAATCGATTTCCATATTTGATAAAATACCTGACTGAAATAATAATAATAGTAAAAGGATTGTTTCATAATTTCCTTGTCATTTTATTTTTTTTACTAACTATATATAAGAAAATTACTCCTTTATGCAAATTCATCATGTTGCATTGCTTTTAACGTTTAATTTTATTTAATAAAAATAATGATTCTATCAGAGTTTTATATTAGAATGTTAATTATCTGTTATTTTCTTCTGTGAGACCAGAAGTCATTGGGGTGTCCCACATCATATGATTTACAAACATAGTCAATCACATATATAAATTTTTATTAAGGATTTTTCATTGATCTTTTTTTTAATAGTAAACTTGAATGAAAATAACTCTTTAAAGAACAGAGATACAGATTCCAAATTAAGTTTAAAATATATTAGAAGGATAGGGCAATGTCTATATAGAGAGTTTTTTTTAATTTTAATATAAATCATATCATTTATTCTAAGCTAAAAGAAAAAAAGGAAAGTTATGTATATATGATGCAAAATTTTATGCAAATAGAATTATAAAAGGCTCTCTATACGCCTAAAGAGCATCAAAATTCGAATCCAAACCATGTCATTTTATTTAGATACGTCATATAGTTTAAGAGTTATTTCGATTTTTGTAATCTTGTGAATATATTTTGACTAAATTTTAGTGTTACACCTAAATTTTATAATTTCTATATAGTACTAGCCAAACAAACAATTTACAGCCGTTAAAAATATTATTATACAATTTCTTGTAACTTCTTTATTTATAATAATAATTATTCTAATCAAAGTTGTGTTTTGTTATTATATCTTGAACTGCTAGTAAAGTAATTTTTAAAATTTTTTTGTGGAACCAAAAAAATAATAATAAATCCGCAATACCCCTAAAAAATCCTTATTAATGAAAATTTATACATGTGATCGACTATGTTTGTAAATCATATGATGTGGGATACCCCAAGAAGTCATGCTTAGTTGATCACTACAATAAAGATAAAAATGGATTAATTATAATAAAAAGCTTTTGCAACGACGTCAAGTCGCTCCAAACAAATACTATTCTATGGTAAAACGGGGGGAGTTGTGCACTGTAAATAATTTAATTTTTTTTATATGTATTACATATTTCTAATCAATTTTAAATTAATAAATGTCACAACAAGATTACGTCGTTAAAAAAAAAAAATAAAAAAAAATAAAAGGCTTTTGCATAAAATTTTCATTACACTAAAATTTGGTCAATGATGATTTTATCTACCCAAGTGTATGGGAACTGAAACAGTTAAAAATATTTCACTTGGGTGTTAATACAAATTAGGAAGTCCATGTAATTTACAATTGTTACAAAAATATACAAACATTTACATCATCAGAGCTAAATTCAATACGAGAACAATAATAATTATAGTCATTATATATAAAGTTATATATAGAAAACATTTGTTTGCCATATAAAGAAATTTTTTAAATATATATATATAATGAAAATAATTAACATATGTAAGCTTAATATTGATGACGAATATATTATGGGTAATTTTTGATCTATTTCAACTATCTCGAAATAGACAACGATGAAAATCATTGTTATTGTTATTGTTATTGATGTCAAAAAAAAAAAATTTAACAAAGTCACTTGATTGATAAGTTTGTCATTGAATATGTATATATGTACCAGCCAATCAAAAGCTCGTAATTAATGATGACGCAATTAAACAAAATCCCTTTTATTTACTATTTACTAAACAAATAAATAATAATCATCTTCATAGATATAAATATAAACAGGAAATAAATGACAAGCATTCAAAATTTCATTCGCAATATGTCTGCTTTAACCAAATTGTATATAATGTACGACTTACTAAATTAAATCTTTACCTTTAATATAAAAAGTATTAGTATCAATAAATTTAAGAAAGTTTAAGTTTAATCGTCTTTACACATCGTATTATAATGGAAAAAAACTGTTAATGAAATACTACTATTTTTCTCTATTGCATGTAATCCTATGACGGAATATAAATTGTGGTCATATGTTTATAATTTTTACATGATATACAATAAATTTTAGATCATGTAGTGTCAATAATAAGATAATATTATTTATACTGGCTGTGACCTAGACCTATCTATTTATTACTGCATTCTTTCTATATTGATGTAACTCGTGATTAAGGTTATGATCGTTGAGAAAAAATTGTGTTTCAGTAAAACTTTTTTATGAATGAAAATAAAAATTATTTGTTTGAAGAAAACCATAGATCTTTTTTCATTTTAATTTCCCTACTCCATTTTATAATAAACAAAATAAGTATATATAGGTGCGTTATTTTCCTACAAAATTTATAAACTGGTTACTATAAAAAAATAAAAAAAACCAATTTTGTTTTACTGCAAGTTTATTTATTATTATTAAAAATTAATACAATGAATGATTCAACAAGGGTAGCTGCTAATAATTCAACAAGGGCAACTGCTGCTAATAATTCAACAATGGCAGCTACTGCTAATGCAACAAGGGCAACTGCTGCTAATAATCCAACAAGAGTAGATGCAATCGTTAATTTAAATGTTGGATTTTTTTTTAATGGAGCTCTGGATTTATTTGAAGATAACAATAACAACAAAAACAATAATAATTCGGACCAATTCGATTATACGGGTGGTAATGAGTTTTAAAAAGAAATAACGAAAAAATAAAATCTCATTTGATTGATGCATTTATTATAGAAATTTAAGCAACTTTTTTATTATCATTTTTAGCAAATATTAGAGATTAGTTAATAAGCATTATAAAACAATATGTTTATATTATGAATATGTATATATACTGTATATATTATAAATGTTATGTATTAACTATTATGTAAACATTAAATTTATATTTTATTTAAGCAAATGAAAACTCTTTGATCTAACTTTTAAACTATCGATAAATCGGAAATTCAAACAATTCATAGCTCAAGATTATTTAAACTCATTATAATATAATATACTCTTGTGGTGTGTTTATCTGTGGCATATACTAGTTTTGTATATAAATCTTTGAAATCTTGTGGATTCATTCATATATTACATATATTAGTGATTTATTCCAGAATCTCTTTCTTTAACTTCATAACGGGGAATTTGACCTACAATTGAGTAATAGTAATTTATAACATGACATTATTCTGAGAAAAGACTACATTTCACTCATTCTATTTATAACAAATACCAAGTAAATCCCATTATAACAAACTTCTCTTTTGTTTCTCTCTATGTCAAATGCCTCTCTCTATAACTATGGTGAATAAAGGCACAAAAAATACTTATATGACAAGAATGTTCATTAAAAAAAGGTTTACCAAGGTATGTAAGCAAGCAAATAAATTTAATTTACTATTAATTAATAAACTTTGCACTTAAGTGGACTTTAAGCTACTGACTTTTAAAATAAACTATTTTTAAATTCCATAAATGATTTCATTTTTATTATTTTTGGAAAGGTTTCTTTATTTGGAAATTAATTTATTTCCCAAGAATTTGCTCATAAAAAAAATTTGACTCTTTTTTTTTTTGTATTATCTCCCACATCTCCCCACATATATATCTACTACTCTCTCTCACATCTCAACACGCACGCGCACTCCCTCGCTCACTTTTCACCACAAAACTGAATTTGTTAGATAGACGAATAGTAGTGATGATAATAATTAATTTGTTCCTATTTGATGTACTTGCAATATATATCAATTAATAATGTCAATAATATATCACGCACTCGCACACACATATTAACAAATAAATCATCGTCTTCTCTTTTCTGTCTATCTCACATATCTATCTCGCTTATTCTCACACTTAAACTTTAATGGATACAATATGTGGTATTACCACATAAAAAACAATGCTTACAATGTGTCACCGATTAAATTTGGGAGAGCGTATTTTAATTGGTGATGACAATTATTTTTGTTTTGCGTGGATCAGAATGAATAGGGGATCAACGAATTGATTTTGGTATTAGCGAATAATTTTG